GTGCGTGCGTGCGTTTAGTATCTTAGTATCATGGAGGCTAATATGACATCATTTGAGATGCACGGGTAGGGATAATATACTAATTACGATAATGGTCCAGTAAACGCTCTAAAATCTCAAATCGAAAAAAAAAACTTGATCTTCACAATATTATTATTCACTTTGTGTTTCTAAAGCCCCGGTTACACGCAACGATAAATTGTACAAAAAACTGGACGATCTATCGATCATGAGACAAATCGTCAGGTGTAACCACAAAATTGTACAAAGTTTGGACGATTGGACTACGGCTTGGAGACTCGGTCGAGAAATCAAGCGCTGCTTGATATGTTCCGTGCGATCATGGTCAGATTTGAGGGAGACGCGCTGTGACGTAGAATCACATTGAAATTTGCCGCCGCGCAGGATTAAACTTATGGATAAAGTTTTTAAAAAAATAATTATCGAAAGGTAAAAACTGATTTCATATTCGGAATCAGCGTCTCAAAATAAACAAAATTGCACTCGATGAACCTGATTTAAGGCGTCATTAAGTATATTTTAGCAACGTTATTACACAATGTAGTCGATCGTCAATGGTGAAGTTGTGTATCAAGGTCACCCGGTGCGTTGCACATCTGCAGTCAAATCAATGACTAGGAATCTTCCTGGTCGAAAGAAAACTGGACGATTAATAGAAAGAAAACTGGACGATAAATAGAAAGAAAACTGGACGATTAATAGAAAGAAAACTGGACGATAATTAGAAAGAAAACTGGACGATAAATAGAAAGAAAACTGGACGACAATGACGATAAATAGAAAGATAACTGGACGATAAATAGAAAGAACACTGGGCGATAAATAGAAAGAAAACTGGACGATAAATTGGAACGTATAAACAGACGACACAGCTAAAAAAACGGACACTTCTTGCATACGACGAATCTAACACAATTTATCGTTGCATCTCAAGTGTCGCGGTTGGACACAAGTACGAGTTGTAGCCTATCGGAAGTGCTCACGAGAAGACCATTAGACATCTCGGGGCGCGCGGTCTTTTCATAATGTATACAAGAGGTTTTCCTTAATTATTTGCTTCCTTGTCTCCGTGGGTGTAGATATATGCACTTTACGACAAAACAGTCTAACAAAAGAAAAATTGTAGGCTAGACTTGTATATCCATTCTATGGTTAAACATGTTTGAAAGAACCCCCCCCCCCCCCCCCCCCACAACAAAAAAACACACCACCCAATACGTTTGCACTTTTGCGGTTATCACTATCAATAAAGATTCTATGCAATTGCATAGGTCTGAATTACATTAATAATTACAAATCTCGAAAAAGATTTTAGCCATGCGGTGGTGGCTGGAAAGTTTTGGAGCCTCATGTCTTCTTCCTTGTAAGTGGTTCTATCAGAGAGTTTTGCAGTATTACCAGGTTCTCTAGTTTTAGTAGAGGTTTTTCGGCGCTCGTAACTGCATAAAGTCATAATTATGAGCGCCAAGGGGTGGATGTCAACAGAGAAGTCGTTACAGGGAATCAGACTTCCTCTGCTCACCTCTCTTGCTTCAATAGCACAAAGTCTGCTTCGACTATCAAGGCACCCCGGAAACAGTGGGTCACAAGAGTGTGACAAACATACAAAAGAAGTGGAGGAAAATGACGATAGTAAAGATTAGGGAAGAAAAAGCAGCAGTTCCCTGTTGTAGACCAGGCACAGTTATGAGCGTGACATGATGAATCAGCCAATTCACAATTCTACTGGGCATGAACGAGGAGAAATGTCCCCCCCTTTGGGAATGGCCTAAAGACACTTCAGTCAGTGGCACCGCCCCGGAGGGTTCTACCAGGTTCACTCAGAGGGTTATACAGTATTACCCGGTTCACTCCTCAAAGAAACAAGCAACAATATTTAATGGTGAACTATAATAGCCTAATATTTGAATTCGTTGTGCATGAATCCGTATTGCTAGCCAATAAGTGTATGGAAGTTTTTCCTCTAAGGCAAATTTTGTTTATATTACTACGTCTCGAAATTGTACTTAAGATGTAGATCTAGGGGCCTAAAAGCATGCAAAATAAAAGAGAAAAAAATTATCCATAATATTCTAAAATCTCACACGATTGCTTTTTCTGTGCCTGGGTTACGTGAAAGCTGGAATACACGGTACAAGTAATAGAAATGATGATCACAATTCATAGAACCTTCTTACGTGACTACCCCAAGCCTGGAGCGCAAAGAAAGGGGTGTATACATGTTGATGCATAAAGGGCCCAGGTCTAGACGGTCAGAGTAAGAACGTATAAGCCCAGGTCGAGGATACCGGAACTAAAGATTTATTTTGGTAGCCTCGGCCCAGGTGGTTTTATCGGCCTGCGAGAGGTCAGTGGAAGTCCTCGCCTCATGCCCACACCGGGGTGGGAGCTATTCTCACCAGAAAAGGGGGGGGGGGGGGATAGCGAGACTTGGGTCATTCTCACCCGGGGTGAGAATAAAGGTGGCCTATCGAATTACCACCAGTTCTTGCATTTCGTAGGACCACTGTTTGACCTATTAAAACAGAAACGTTTTGAACATCTCCTTTGCTTCCACCCTTAGCCCCACCCATGGCTGTTACAAGCACAGTCAACCAATGCCGCCCTTCTCTGTCATGTAACAACGATTCGAGGAACTCTTTTCTCGGCTGGCCGTACGATCAGGGCGGCAGGTAGGCCTACTGGTCAAACTAATTTCACACCTCTGGCTTCTGGCTATCAATGAAAGTTTCCGTGCTGGAGCGCCATTCGCGCACTTTTACTGGCACTCGTGAGATTTCATACCCACACCAGCCTGGCCATCTTCATCACTCAGGGCTCACTTAGATGGGGTAACATCTACCCTCAAATTGCACCCCTACTCCCCTTCCTAGCCCAGCAGCATGACGTTAAGTTTAGAGCTGGCGGACGGAACCAAACGGCGAGCTTTGTTTCAAATCAGGATTGAGCGGGCAAAACATTTTCCGTTTTTGACAGGCAGGTAAAACCTTCGGAAGGGAGCGGATTTTTCTTTCCGATTCCGCGTTGGACAGGTATCCGTTTTATACAGGTAGTTGAAGAGGAATATATCAAGGGAGGGGGGGGGGGGATTCCGTTAAGACAGGTTTCCGTTTTATACTGGTTTCCGCTAAGGCAGGTTCGACTGAGCTGCTACACGCAACATAACGACACGCTTCCACTTCTTTCTTTCTTCTTCCTTTCTTTCTTCTTGTCCCGCTTCACTCAGTTGTAAATTTACATGTAGATCTAGATTCTATAATGCTCAGAATTGCAATATCAGGTTCCAATCCGCGAGATTCTGTTCTGTTTGACGACGGTCCGAGATGGTCTGCCATATCGGGCTGGTCTGAAAACGGTTCCACTCGACACTATAATATTAATACTATCCACATTCGTAACCAGAACCCTAACTCAAATCCTATCCCTAACCAAATCCTCACAAACTGATGAAACTCTCAGGTAGATCTATACTTACCGGAGTCAATTTTAAAAAAAATAATTGTATGACGGCTTATCGGGGATAGACCGTCAAGTGGACTGATATGGGTAGAGAGATAAAGATATAACAGGCCAGTGCTTAAAGACTCTACTGTTCTCTTGATATGCTACAATATTATGTAGATTCTAGATCTCGAGATCTAATAGATGAAATATTTGATTATTATTTCAACCCTCCCTCCACCCCCATTTTTTGCCCCCTTCCTAATCAAACCCCAAACAAAAACAAAACACACTCACACCCCCCCCAAAAAAACAAAACAAAACAAAACAACAACAACAACAACAACAACAACAAACAAAACCGGCGACATTAGGCTAGTAGGCTAGGCTTGTCCAATGATCCAAATGTACATGTATATCAAGGAGATTAAACGTAGTTCTAAACTCCTTGATGTATATCGAACGTTCCTCTTTTGCCTCAATTCATTCGATACGGTACTTGCGTTTCCGGTATCCGTACTCGCACCGTAATTGTTTGGTAAATCGTGCGGAAGACGCCAGCCAAGTAGGCCTAGCTCCCTAAAGTGGCTAAAGTTTTCTTGTTCATAGCCCGGACTTCCGCATTTACTTATGCCGAAGAAACTTCAACACTGCTTTTGGACCGTCTTTTTTCCATGTAAGGTAATGGACATGTGCTTTGTTTTTTAGAGGGGATGATTCAGATGGGAACATCTGGTAAATAAAAAAATTGCTGTTGCTTTTTTTGTGTTGTCATGACCTAGACAAGCTTCAGATTTGGTCGTAAGGTAGAAATTTAAGCTTGAACCTGGCTTGAAACAAGTGTTTGCAATTTGTTAGTATGATGTGAGTCGTGAGTAGGAGTAGGACTAGATCTAGATCTAGATCTAGATTCTAGATCTAGAATCTAGACCTAGATTCCTAGAAGTAGGCTTAGATATCTAGATCCAGAGGTGAAGTCTTGAAATTTAAATCTGATCTAGAAGTCTAGATCTAGGTCTAGATATATTTAGTAGTATAGATATGTGGACCTAAAAAATCTAGATTAGACAAGATTCTGATCATCAATAATAAGGAAGATCAGATCCTAGTGATGGATTGGCCATTTTCAAAGCCCGTTGACACTTTCACTGTCCCCCTAAAACTGGACATTTGCCTTCTTATAGGGGCCGGCCGCCGATTGGCACGATTGGTTCGGTTTAGTCTTAGTTTGGTGGGCGGGGTTAGCCGGATTGAGGGTGCGAAGCGACTTTGTGGTATAAACCGATCACCCAGCTCGTAGCCTCAAGAACAAACGCGCTTGTGAGTCAGCGTGGTGGAATCAGGCTCTCGTCAAAATAATGAAATTGAAGAAAACAGTAGCAGCAGTTTTCTCCCTGCTTAGCAATTTTTATAAAATTTTTGTTTTTTGGCTCAATAACTTTTATGTCCATTTACAAACACATTCCTTTGAAGATCTCACCTAAAAACGTTGATTAAAGGCACAAAAATATAAATTTACAGTCTCCATAGACTCTCTAGCTTTGGAATTTACCAAGCTTTGGCAGCCATGTTCTCGCTAATTTTACCTCTGAAACCAGGTGACCCCCCACCTCCTTCAATCCGAAATATCTCCACTTCTATTGAAAATGGATGGGTAATTTTTTCATTTAAAGCAAAACAAATGAACAAGCTTTAAGATGATGCCAATAACTCAATATATGCTCAAAAATTGACGAGAGCCTGATTCCACCACGCTGCCTCACATTTGTTGTCAGTCTGCAAATCTGGCGATCGGTTTGCCGATCCCCTAATGGGTTCTGGGCAATCAGGCGATGGGATGGAGAATAAAGACAGACTGATTTTAATTTACTTCCAATATAAATACAGTCATAATATAAATAATATAAACACTGTCTTGCTGGAGTTGTTCAGCTACCCAGAAGATCTATCCCCCCCCCCCCACCCTCCATCTGGTGTGCAGTGAGTCTGTTTGTTACTCTTCCTAATTGGGGGGTGGGGGGGGGGGGGGTGAGGAGAGGAGGTTGGTAGGGCTGCAACAATTAGACAGTAATTGTTCAGCATTGGCATGGCTGTAGCAGAGCTTGCAAATGTCACAGGCTTATAAGTGAGCCCCCACCTCCCCCGCCTGTGCTGTGTGTAGCCTGTAATGATGACTAATGAGCTAGTGAGTGTCTCCACTCTCCACACGCATTCCTTTTGTTGCAGTTCTCATTCTGGGTTCTTTTTATATTTATATAATGCTGTCTGTAGTACAATTTTACACATTTTAGTTGCCAGTGGATGGCCAGATAGTCACATTCATTTGTTTAGTATGTGTATGATCTCTTGACAGATTGGATCTTCATATAAATTTGATTAATTCTTTGTTTGTATTGAATCTCTGTGCATCCTGGTTGTCTGTCTTACTCTTCTTGGTGATATTAAATAATTTTATTTTAAATGCTGGATGGTAAGTCTTATTTTTTCACAATTCCCTCATTATGATTACTTCATTTACGCGCCTTATATTACATTTTGTGTGTGTATGTGTATGGGTGTAAACATGCTGTCCTGTTTTCACTGGGTTGTAACCAGTGTTAAAGATTATTGTAAAAATGTTCAGACTTCTGAATCTGGTACTGGGGTCAGCATGAATTCTAACAGTTTTCCAAAGTGTCCATAATTTTGTCTCTGTGGTTTATACAGTTCACGGAAGTAGGAGATTTTGACTTTTTGTATTCACATCGAATGGAAGTTTACTAAGAGTAGCTCTTTAATTAGTTTTTTGACTGTTGATGTTGTCATCGAGGACACAATAATGGCCTATAATATTATATAGATGTCAGACTTATTGCCAAAAGTACCAAAATCTTACTGACCCAACTTAAGGTAGTGGGTGGTTAGCAGGTGCTCTGGTGGGATTTGCTCCTTTTTTCCTATCACAAGCATCTATCGTCCTTACCTCCCCTCCTTCTATTTTGTGTTTGTTACTCTCTTGTAACGCCTCTAATCTTCGGCTTTTTTATGACCTTATTATGTTGCAAGTGCAGTAAAACTCTTACTAAAGAACAACATAAGGTACCTAAACAATTTTTTTTTACAAAATTGGATTTATAAAGGCCAACATATTTCAAATTATGAAGAAAAGGAAATGTGTCACGACGCGGTGGAATCAGGCACTCATCAATTTTTGGGCATACGGGGTTATTTATTGGTATCATCTTAAGGCCTGTTCATATGTCTTGCTTTCGCTGAAAAAAAATATCCTTTTATCTTGGGCACACAAGAAGTCGAGATATTGGTGATAGAAGGAGGCGGAGTCACCTGGTTTCAGAGGAAAAATTAGCAAGAATATGGATGCCAAAGTTTGGTTATTTCCTCAGCTTAAGAGTCAGTGGAAACTGAAATTTTACATTTTTTTGTGCCTTTAATCGACATTTTTCAGTAAAATTCACACAGAAATGTGTTCTTTAATGGGCATGAAAGGTGTTGAGCCAAAAAACAAAAATTCGATAAAAAAATTCACAAATTTGCTGGAAAATTCCAGTTTCTTCACTTTAATTATTTTGTCGAGCGCCTGATTTCACCACGCTGCCTCACAAATCACCATGGCCTGAGTCAAGAAAGTTACAGAAATCCGGAACCCCCCCCCCCCCCCCCATTTATTCAACAATGATATAATATCACCTTGCAATTATGGTAAAATGATGATGATATGCAATTCTCTCTTTCTCAAATTTTTCTTTGGATTAGAAAAGAGCATACAAAACGGGATAGACTTTTGAAAGTTGCATGGCTATCCTTTTCACTCTCAGTCAGGAGGAAGTAACGGGGAGCCATCACCTTGATACGAGTACCAGCGGCTTACCAGAGAAACGTATTCCGACAATGAAATTGACATTGGGCTTAGTGGGGAAGTTCTTGTAAATAAATGATCACCTGAGATGTCTAATCACCAACATAATATGTGAGGCAGCTTGATGAAATCAGGCGTTGGTCAAAATAATGAAATTACAGAAACTGGCATTTTTCTGCAAGTTGGGCAATTTTTATCAAATTTTTGTTTTTTGGCTTTACACCATTGTTGTCCTAATGAGAACTCACTTCTGGGTGGATTTTACTGGAAAAAGTTGATTAAAGGCACAAAAGTGTAAGTTTTCAGTTTCCACGGACTATCAAGCAATGGAAATAACCAAACTTTGGCAGCCATTTTCTTGCTAATTTTACCTTTGAAACCAGGCGACTCCACCATCTTCAATCTCAAATATCTTGACTTCTATTCAAGATAGATAGGCATTTTTTTCTCCGATAGCAAGACAGTTGAACAAGTTTTAAGATGATACCAATAACTCCACAAGCCCAAAAATTGACGAGCGCCTGATTCTACCATGCCATGACGCGTTTGATCCTTTGCCAGAACCCGGCATTCCACTAAGTATGTCGCAGAGGTCGTCAAAAATTAAAATCTGCTTCCTTTCTGGTTCAATGCCATGAATACCTGGCTAATTGTGGCGTCGGTGGCCTAGTGGTTATAGGCTCTCGGACTCGCAACCGTAAGGTCGTGGGTTCGAATCCTCTCAGGGACCCGACGTTGTGTCCTTGGGAAAGGCACTTTACACGAATTTTCCTCACTTCACCCAGGTGGGAATGGGTACCCGGCTATAGACAGCGAAAGATCTTGTCAGTTTGTTAGTGTTTGAGCGCTTAATCAGCTGCTTGCACTGTATGCTTCCCAGGAAGCTGAGAATGTTTCGGAGTGTTCTATGGTCTGCTGGGGTAATAATATAGTGTAAAGCGCATAGAGCCTGCTGTTGAGCGGGGATATGCGCTATACAAATGCTATCTATTATTATCTATTATCTATTATTATCATTATTAATTGGTGATACTTTCATAATCTTGTACTATTACAACAGAAAAATTAATGTATATTTTGTGAGATATTTAAATGTTTGAAGGTTGCTTTGAGATTCTGGTGTGCATCACTCTGATGACAGGAAATCTCTTAAAGTGATGATATTTGAACGACACCATCTGTTTCAATTTGGTATCTCTACTACTTTTTATGCCAGTAGTAAGCTTTTAAAAAAGGAAGAAGAAAAGTCCCATTCGATTGTGTGATATTTGATGTAATATGTCAACGCAGTTATGAGCATCAGTTCTCTTTTTTAACTTTTGTTTTTGAAGCATAATATAACTGTTATGACATCAGTACAATATTAACCATTCTAACCGTTCTTTCGTAAAGTTTTTTTGTTCACCTGTTGTGCAAATTGTCACTCACAGGCTGGTGTGATCCAAGGCGAGTGCAGCAGAGAATGAGCATTTTGACGAGCGCTGTCACTTCCGCTGACGTTTGTGTACATTGACCCCAGTTTGACCCCGGGACCAGAATGTGGTGGAGACCTTGTTGTCTGTGCTTGGTGATGGCACTGGTGGCGCAGTGCAGCAAGGGGCAGTCTGCGGATGCCGTGGAGGAAGTGCCGATACCCAGCTACACGATAGAATCCAAGTACTCCCCCTTGCACGCTCTCGCCGTGGACAAGAAGAGGGGCATGTTGTACGTAGGTGGGCGTAACGTCTTGCTGCAGCTCGACCGCAACATGAGTCTGGTGAGCCGCGTGAATCGGGGTCCGGTGCGCTTTGACAGCTCATGTGCGCCCAACTCGCTGTGTGAGGGGGGCACCCTCCAGCCAAATGACTTCAAAGTGGTAGTGGTGAGCAAGGTGAAGGACAAACTGCTGGCGTGCGGCTCGGCTCACCAGGGTTTGTGCAGCGTGCACAGCCTCAGTAACATATCGGCAATGGAGGAGTTGAGGGGGAGCACCCTGGGACGGCTGGTGGCGGGTCGCAAGTCTTCGCTGGTACTGCTGGGATCTGCGGGCAAGGATTTCCCCTTCGAACTGGCTTATGTGTTTCAGGAGTACGATGGCAGGGCACCTGAGTACACCCCTCATCAAATGTCGATCAGGAAGTTTTTCCTTAACGGGACCCACTACAGTATGCATTACCTCCAAGACGACAAAGCTACAAGTGAATTTTCTGGCCTGGGGATCAGGGCAGAGTTTCTGTCAAACTACTACATGTCTTTCGTGTACACGTTTGAGTATAAAAACTACCTGTACGTTGTCATGAACCAGCAGAGAAAAGTCACCTTCCCAAATCTGGTCCGCGTTAAAATCGGAAGGATTTGCAGCAGAGACACTCTTCTCTCTTCGTACATCGAGACAGAGCTGAAGTGCCATTATGGCACAGAGGACTTGCTTTACAACAAGGCCCAGTCAGTGGTGATGAGTGACGGTCGCCTGTACCTCACGGCCGTCCATCTCAAGTCCGGGACTCGCTTTCAGATCGACGACAGTCGTGGAACGGCCTTGTGCGTGACGCAGATGTCCGTTATCGAGGATGCTTTCATTGAGGGAATCTACTCCTGCTACCAAGGCCAGGGCAACAGGCTGGATTGGAACCGTGGGCCAGGAGTCAGGTGCAAACAGCAGCAGGTACTGTTTGTTGGTTTTTTCTCGAAATTGTATAGTTCGATTTATTGTTTTGTTTTTGTAGAAACTTACCCCCTCGACTCTGGCGTTGACCAGATGACAAGGACATGTGGTTACTTGAGGGAGGCATTGCGCTGCCAAGAGCGAAATGCTCGCAGCTAAAGGGATTTGAAAACAACAACAACAACAACCCCCTCGACTAGAGCCAATAATTGGGTTGGGGAGATTATTTTATCAAGCTTCTACCTTAAAATTACAAGGTTCCATCTGACATTTTGGGCTGTTTTGAGGTACTAAGACCATGAGGCCAGAGAGCAAACTCTCTATCTGCTCTATCAAAAGCAAAAGAATATATATATAATAATTATAATCAGAGACATTAATAGGGTATTGTGAAAATGCATTTAAAAAAGCTTGACATATTGTGAAGCTGAAACATTTCCACGTCAAGTTTCTCAAAACTAGGTACTGAACAGACAGAACTTTGTAATTCTGATGTAGCGAAGTGTCTCGCGACAATTCTGATGTAGCGCAGTGTCTCGCGACAATTCTGATGTAGCGCAGTGTCTCGTGACAATTCTGATGTAGCGCAGTGTCTCGTGACAATTCTGATGTAGCGAAGTGTCTCGCGACAATTCTGATGTAGCGAAGTGTCTCGCGACAATCTCTGACAGCGTTTCCTCCCCCTCTGCCCAGTGTGGCCCTCACAGACAGTGTCGAAGCAGGCCACCCGTAGAATGGTCGGAATTATGCGGAAGCGAGAGTTAAACCGAAAAAAGGAGTAAGATCGAGAAAAGATATTTTATAGCATTTTCTTCATCTACATAAATTTGAAAGAACGATTTGGTAAAAATCTGGTGTGGGTTAGTTTAGAAATGTGGGAAGGAGTGCATGATTACCTTTAAAAGTCAGTTAAAGCTCGGTTTTGAGAGAGTGGAAGTCAAGTTTAGACCTTTTTCTTGGCATGGTATCTCCCGTTTAAAAACACATAGAAACGGAAGCAAAAAGAAAAACCCAACTGTTTTTAGGCTTCACTTTGATTTTGTCATCTAGCAAAATTACAATGACAATAGCAGTGATTTCAAGTCCAAGTCGCACTACTAAGTCGAGATTTTAAATGACCCACGCGTGATATTTTGGATTCCGCTGTAGAGCACGCTTCCATGACATATCGGACATTTTGGTGGAAGTGTAGGTCACATGGTCACATGGTATTAAAATTTGTACAAATTTCTAACCCCCCCCCCCCCCCCCCCACTCCCTCAGAGCTTCATGACGGAAATAATGGAAGGAAACTTTTGTGGCAGTCCTGATAATGCTGGCATTGAGTCTTCCAAAGAAGTGATCATGGATCATCTGGCTAGCTTTGGCACCATCACCACTGCTATGACTGCCGTGCAGTCAAACAAGACCCAGACTCTGCTGGCGCTTGGCGACATTGACGGGAACATCCGCAAGGTAAGGCGCTCTCATTTTTTAAAAATAATTTTGTTTTGGTAAGTGTTTTACGGTGCTCGCAACTGCATATGGTCATATGAGCGCATGGGACACACAAGAAACATTTTCAGTTGGTAGGAAATTTTGAATTTTGCCCGGGTAAAGGCTGTAGCCTACTCTTATTGCTCTTGGACCACCAAGGGATCTTTAACGTGCACAACTTGCCCACGGGACCTCCAATATTTTTCGCCCTTGTCTGAGAAGGTTTGGTGTAGATCAGGGGTGTGGCTTAAAGACAGCAGTAAGAAGGAGCCAAGGAGTAGCAGTAGAAAGGCTGCAGAAAGAGTCAGGAGCCCAGAGGAGGGGGCAAAGGAGGTGAGGGGGTGGGGGCAGAAAGTGGGGATAAAAGCAGACGACAGAATATTGTTAGAGAGCAGGAAACGGTGTGAAAAGAGAAAATTTTAGAGAAGAACATTATCCGTCTCTATCGGGATTTGAAATCGGGAACTCCGTGCCTTTTTTGTATATATATATATATACTTTCATGAAAACTGCACTCTTCATATTTTTGAATGTATGGCCATTGGCAGGTTTTCCACCAAATACACACCTATGGAACCCGGGAAGTCTCGAGTGTCCATCAGGTTCTGGTGTACAAGGTCAGCCCCAAACCCATCGGGCAGGCAATGAATGTCGACAGAGATGGACGATTGATCGTCACAACTGGTGACAAGGTAACCCTCAGATATATATATATATGTGTATACATCATGTGTCACCAGACCTGTTTTGAGACCCCGCCCATCTGTACTCTTAAGCTTTAAGCCCTGGGTTTTTTTCCAACCGTTTCCCTGAGTTCTTTTTAACAGTCAGCTAAACCTGGTGCACTATGTGATGTCTCATTATAACCCCAAAAGCTTGCCTCCAGCTTCTAAAAGGCGGAAACAAAGGCGTAATCAATACTAAAAAACTTGGTTTGGGAATAGTTCCGAAAAACAAGCGAAAACTAGCACTAACTGAAACGAAACAGTTGTCACTAGTATTGGACGCTCCCTTCGTTTGATGAGGTTTAAATAATTAAAAAGCTAACGTACATTGTATTGAAAGTGGCGTGACAAGTACTCACAGTACACGTCACGTTTAACCTCTCGCCCTCTCCTTTCTCCCCCTCCTCTCTCCTTTCTCCCCCTCTCCTTCCCCCTCTCCTTTTTCCCCCTCCTCCCTCCTTTATCCCCCTCTCCTCCTCCCTCCTTTCTCCCCCTCTCCTCCTCTCTCCTTTCTCCCCCT